AAACGGAAAAGGTTATTTTGAAGAAATTATTGGAAATGACGGAGAAATAACTAGTAATCTTAATGAACAGGCGGACAGTTGTGTTCATACGTTATTAATCAGCCAACCGAGATCTGAAGGTGACGCCAACAACATAATATCAGAGGTTGTAGGGGTTTTCCCTTCTCAAGTTAAGACAGGGCGGCCATTTTCAAACGAAATCGAGCGTCGTGCATCGGCAAGTATCTTCTCTTTAGCCCTAAACACAATTTTTTGTGATTTGTCACTGCTATCTACAATTTTTATGACTTATGCATTCTATCCTTACTTGCAACAATTCATAAATTCTCTTGTCATTGACTTAATGGGAGCAGTAATGAAGCTCATTTTTTATTTGATTCTTTTGATATCTTTGTTGTTAGTCACTTTTACACTGAAGCAAAAAGGTCTGCATATAAAAACTCGGGTTTCACTTTTTACTACTGTTGATTTTTATTTTTGCCTATCTTTGTTGAATATATTACGAAATATTTTTTATAAAAAATATCATTAACATTCTTATAATTGATTTACTTATTCCGCTTATCCTTTTCGACCACATCTAAAGTTCTTTTTTTTATTATTTTATCATTAATTAAGAATTCTGCCAGAAGGAATCGATCTAGGTCACATTCGGATCATCATTCATATTCGAGACAAGAACTAGATGGAGGCAGCCTTCACCTAGAGACATTATCTGAGCGAGAAGCAGATCATAAAATAATCACTCATCTGGCTAAACCACGAATTCAGTTAGGAATTCAGAGTTCATCCAAGAATTCTGGTGAAAGATTGGGCGATTATACTAGCACAGAGACGGAGAACAATTCCTCAGCTATCAGCGATGTCTGTTATCCTAATTTACTTTACGGTAATGTCACAACTCCCACGCAGCTTTCTATCCTCATATCTTGTGTTATACATAAAAAGCTTCAATCCTGAGCATTCGCCTATCAATATTAATGAAGCACAGTACTAGGCTGTAAAGATAAGCATTGTTCATTTCACAATCTTTTGCCCTCATATCATCAGGCATGTTTAATGCAACCCTTGTCTATGTGGCGATTGTGAATTTACTGAGCTTCTTGAGTTAATATGACTAGATCTTCTAAACAAAAAGTATTTTAAGCGAATTAAGGCCAATGATGAGAAATTATGTTATCATGAGATGTACCTTTTTTATAGAGATAGAATTTATTGTCGGATTTAAGCATGATATTATGATAGATGGATATGATTGAGTACTTGTGTTTATTTGATGTTCATACCTAGGTTTAATTTAATTTATGAGTATGCTTTTCATTGCGAGATTATTGTTTCTCCCATTTCTTTTATCTAAGGTCTGTTTACAAATGGCTCTTATTATTCCGCCCTAAATCTAGGTCCAGGTCCTCCAACAACAGATTTAAGGCCTGGTTCCTCGCCTCTACTTCCAGTACATTCATTTGCTCATGTTCGGCGATTTCCTTTTGTTAGCCCTCGTCATGATTCTATATCTCTTGGTGGGGGGGGTGTAGATGGTAGCAACAGTCACCACTCGTATTCGTCCCGTTCCACGGTTACGCCCGTGGGCCGAATTGCACACACCTTATATCCCACAGCCCGGCGTGGCCACTCAATGGCTGCATTGCCGTCGTTTGTCTCCAGCCTCAACTGTGGGCTGGCTGAGCCTTTGTCCCAGGCCCAGGCTCAGGTACACTTGCAACAACAGCATCAATTCTATCATCATTGGCAAAACTATGTCCATCATCCTCTTGGATACACTTGCTATCCATCACTATTTCAAAATCATGGATTATACCTTGCTCTGCCTGCTACAATGCGTGCTAAACCGCCGGCGCACCTGCCTCAACCATCACCACTAATCTGCACTCTGCAGCAGGTCCAACAAGCAAATACTGGTTTGTTTGGCTCTTTAGGGAGTAATATTTTGCCTCTAGAAGCTCAACCAGACAGTTCTGCAGCTGAATTGTTAGTTCTGCCTGTAATGCCAACCTCTAACCCTATATCGGATTCTGTTTCCGTTCCGGCAACATGTTCCCTCGGGAAGATCTCTATTACTCAATTGGCTGATCGACCTGACTCGAGTACACTCGAACCTAATTTGATGCAGCAGCCACAGGCATATCCTCGTCATTCTACATCTCCAGGGCCATCTGCACGACATCCGGTACGTCCTATCTCTGTTGGATTTACTTGACCTAATTTATAAAATATATATAACACTACCAATTGATCGACCTTTAGGTAAGGGAACCAGATCTATATTGATTGTAACTTCAACTTAGGCAATATATCATTCTTTTTATCCCTCTTGCTTAGTTTCATCAATTGGATCCATCAATTGAAACAGCAAATTAAAAAAATTAAAGTCCATCTTTACGCACTAATATCATTAAGCCATTTTATTCATGTCGCATTATGTATATATATATATATATATGTGCCTTGTCCACATTCAAGGTGATATTACTTTATCCTCTCTTGTCTGAACCTACTTCCTCATAAGTCACAAGCTATATCCTACACTGGTCTTAAGGCCCTTTTTCCTTAACAGAACCCATAGTTATCTAATTTTTAATTTTTTGTATCCGTCCCTCTACTCTCATTGGGAGAGCAGAAACGCATTTTGTAACCAGGGCCTCTAGAAATTATTACAGCCTGGAGTCTATAACATGTTTGATTAGGACAAATTGGCTCTTGCCCATTGTGAAACCCATATTTATAACTGGAATACGATATTTCCAACTTTATCTAACAAGCTTATCTTAGACATCTGCTCTATTTCCATTAATCTTACACACCCACTTGTTTTTCTTGCCGATCCTTTAACTATTTAAAACGCCATATGTTATGCCTCTAGTCTTTTGTCACTCATTTTCTTTTTCTGTACTTCTTATTTTCCAATATCTAGCTTCTCGCTATGTATCCTTTTGTTTCGCCTGCTTATGAATACACCAAGGGTCCACCATCCTCTTTCGTTACCCACCCGCTGCACTCCCAGCCTTTCCAGGCCCCCCTCACTCCGCTTCATCATAGCGCTCAACTTACTCCATTCTCAACTTTCCTCACATGCAATAAGACACCTGTCTTCACTCCGCCAGAAATGATCGATGCCCATGACTTTATGACGCCAGCTTCACTTTTCTCAGCATTCCCAATTCATGATCAGAGCTCTTTAGCTCGGCCGGTTCCAACCCCAATTTGGTCACTTGGATACTACTCTGGCTGTCAAAAAGGTGTTCGGAGTATACCTGGACAGTTAAGCAACTTAAATGATGCTGAAAATCAACCCTTAGGTGCTAATGCAGATGAATTTTATCGTCTAGCTGCTGACTCTGGTGATCTGCTTGTTGGGGCTGGGGGAGGAGAGGCCGAGATATTTAGTGCCCTGGATACAGGTTTAGCCTCAACCACTTCGGAGGCTGGTGGGCCTGTTGTGCTTGTCGGCTCCAAGTCGATTGCCAGAAAAACTGCCATAGAAATCGAAAATATACGTGACTCCGATGTAAATGATAACGGGCAAGTGATTGCTGATACAAACGCCGACATTCCCTTGCTGACCAAACAAAAGTCAAAGTGGATATTTGGACCTACTGAGTGCACTCCTGTATGGTCAAGCCAGAACAAGGTTGTTAGAGCAGGCATAGTCCCAACAACACTCGAGGGAATTTTTGACGAAAAAGTCCGATCTACGAACGAGGAAGAGCGTGCTTGTCAATCTACTCATAGAAAAGAAGCTCTGGTAAAGTTATATTTATGATATTTATTATTCGAATTTTCTAACTTGTCAGTTAACTGTACTGAGATGAATATATCTTGCATTAAAAGTCGCCTGGTCATCTTCCTCCTAGCGGTATTTTTTTGTAGCATTGTTTTGCCTCTTGATGCAGGAAATCTTGATTCATCTTCCATGCACCCCTTTTTAAAAGGAAGCTATTATGAGGAAATTTAGTAATCTTCCATGTTCTATATGGAAAACTTATTTATCAAGCTCTGTAAAACCAAGCAAATCTTTTCCACATATTTAATTATTAGAAAATAATAATCATAACACAGCATTTTATAACCTTGGTAGTATGCAAAGAGCTTATTAATAAAATTAAGTCGACTCCAACCCAGTTAACTTTAGCACCTTTATACTTGCATTTTCCACTATTCATCCAGAAGTATTTTGATCCAAAACTTATGTCTTCAATTTGCATGCCTTCTTTGAGTCTGAATACATTTAATGTTAGCTTACTCATCATTTTATGCCATTTCTTAACTATTTGTTACGAAGCGCTGTCTGTAAAGTCCAAGTAATCATCTAGATTGTTTGGACTTTGCGTATTCTGGCGCTGGCCAATTAATGTTTTCCAAGTCCGTTTGGGTCCAACTGATGGTATATTCAATTTGAGATAAAGGGGAAATAAAGGTATGCCAGTCAAGCTATGAATTGTGGTGCGGAGAAGCCTTCTTGACTAAAAGTGTGGAATGACTGTGCCGATTTACTGTTGAACCAAACAAAGTAATCTGGTTGATTATGAACCGTGGTCACCCTAGAGTGCTTAAAGTGATAAATTATCCCATATTGATATAAGTGGGCCTCATTATGGTATTTAATTTCATTCTGTCTTAGGAAGAAAAACTAATCTTTTCGTAAGTACGTTTTCGAGAAAAGGATAAATGAAAAACTGAGTTTAGAAAAATTCCTTAGTGATATATTGCGACGTGACTTTCCATTTCAAATGAAAAGTTGGCTGGAAGGAATTCGTGATGTGGTCTCACCAGAAACCAAAAGAGAATTACCGCTTAGAAAACTGTTGTATTGTGCGAAAAAGTCCTCAGCTCACCGTCCTGCGACCCCAATGAACCTGTGCTAAGCTGTTGACTGTATTGTGGCAGATATCATCAGAGCAAGAAACATTACTTTATGAAATAGAGCAAAAATATAGTAAACTAAGGGAAAAGGTGGCTAGTTGCAACCCTAGCCGCTTTTTCATACACCTAACTTCGTGATCTTAATGAGGCATCTGATGATTTGGTTGGCTACTTCACTCTTAGTCTACATCCTTGTAGTTGAGTGAAGTTACTTCCCGAACCGGAAGTGCGTTCGGTGGCAGCTGTTTCCTTACAAAAATAAGCTAGTGTACGATCCTAAAATATTGGCTCATGTTTGAGTTTGTGCTATTGTCTAATATGTGTATGTCATGGTCAGTGTGATACTTCTAGCTAGACTAATATCTAATGAAGTGAATGGGAAGTAAAGCCTTAGCAAAAAAGTGTTAAATCCATCCAAAACTTCATTGGACATTTCTTCTAAAGAGAACCTAACGAAGAGCTTTAACTTTGCCTTTCCAAACGGTAAGGACTTCAAAAAGGAAATTTTGATAGAATGTATAAGTTTAACGGATAATTTCCCACATGATACTAGGGATGACATTGAATTACAAGTTGTCCTTTTAATTGATGGCCACGTATAAGCACAAAATAAGAATAGGACAGTTAATACTATTATTATCTAGCGAAAATGTTAGAAGCATTAGACGATGATACAACGTATAAAACTATAATTAAGGACCCGGCAGAGGCCTTAAGGTCATACTTAGGGGTCTTCTATAACAATGTGTAAATAGAGAACTGTAAAAGTGTAAAATAAGCGCACTTCTCCAGCGAAATGCTAGGCCTCTGAACGCGTATGGTCTGCCCAAAATTTAAAGACAAGGTATCCCACTTAGGATTATTATAAATAATGAAGGTAGCGCGCTGCACAAAGCATCACGATTTATATTTACTCACTTAAAGCAAATCTCCGAAACTTTGACGTTTTTGGTAAGGAATTCTTACGACTTTATTAAGTAAGTTGATGATCAGGCGATAGAAAGAGGAGATTTGGTGGTAAGTTATGATATAGTGCCTGTGTACACAAACATTCCGATAAATGAAACAATGAAGGCCTTAGAAATAATAGGCAATTATAACAAGTCAAAAGTTAGGCAAAGATTTAATCATTAGATTAGTCAATTTTGCAATGTATAATAAATATTTTACCCTTAATAGTAAGCTGTATGAGCAAAATGAGGTTTGGCTATTTGATCTTGTTGAGCCTCTATTCTAGCTAATAACTAAATGGCCTAATTAGAAGTCCATGTCTTTCAAGAGTTACTCTTAGTTCCAAAGTTATTGGTTCGTTATATGGGCGATTATTTTGCTGTTTGCTAACAGGGCGGATATAATATAGATGAATTCATTGAGCTAACAAATAAAATAGATGCCAATACTAAGCTTACAATGGAGTTAAAAACGGAAAATAAATTGCATTTTTTGGAACTATTAATGAGCAAATAATGTAATTAATTAAGTAGAGACGCGTATAGGAAACCTACACAAGCTGTTTACCTTGTTAATTTTATCTCCAACCCTACATAAAATCAAAATAAGGCTTATGAAATCAATGATATTAAGGAATCTGGCTATAGCAGAAGTAAACCACATGGGCCAAGGGATCGGTAGATTGAGGCATATATTATTTCAGAACAATTACGCGTTAGGATTAGTGTACAATTTCATTCCAATTATTAGTAACAAAATGAGGGAAGTTTACTATCTGGGGTGGGATAGACAATTTGACAATTCTACTCGATTCCAGATTTTGCCTTCCTGTTAGCTTACGAACAAGTTGAGTGATCTGTTGAGGAAGTGGAACATGAGAACAATGTATAAAGAGAAATTAACACTTTCTTCAGTAGTTCCCCAGTTTAGGGCATTTTTGGACTAACTCTCCAGATCAGGCTGCTGCAAGGTTTTGTGTCCATGTGGTAATGTCTATTTGAGGTAGACCTACCGACCCATTCAAAAAAGGCTATGCTAACAAAACCGCTTGTAAAGGTTTATGTGTCCGAAAATCTGAGCTCGCTGAACACGTAGCTAATACAGGACACTCATTAGACTGATTCAAAACAGTGTTTTGTGGGTTACGAAGACTTTACATCAAAGCGTATTATTAAGAGACTATAAAAATTAACAAAACAGCCAGCATCCTACATAGAAGGAACGGATGTAGAAGACTGAGTAAGAATTATTTGTGGCTGTTGTATAGGCTTAAGGAGAGGTAGAGCAGGAAGAACCACTAAACAAGAGGAGATTGGAATAGCCTCGAGTCTATCTAGGACTATCACACTTCCTATGATAAGAACATTACATACACAGAAATAGACATTAGTACAAGCCCAAACATGAGCCAATATTATAGGATCGTACACTAATTTATTTGGGTAAGAAAACAGCTGCCACCGAACAAACTCCCGGTTCGTGAAGTAACTTCACTCATCTACAGGTATGTAGAGTAAGGTTGATGTAGTCAACCAAATAATCAGATGCCTGATTAAGATCGCGAAGTTAGGTGTATAAAAAAGCGACTAGGGTCGTAGCTGTCCACCTTTTCTCTTGATTTACTATACTTTTGCTCTATTTCGTAAAGTATGGATTCTTGCTCTGATGATGTCTGTCATAGTACAGGCGAAAGCTCAGCACAGGTTCATTGGGGTCAAAGGGAGGTGAATCGAGGACTTATTCGCACAATACAACGATCTTCCTAAGCGGCAATCCTCTTCCGGTTTCCCTGTGAGACCACATCACGAATTCCTTCCAACCAACTTTTCCTTCTCAATGGAATGTCGCATCACAATATTCACTCCTTGCCTTCCATAATATATTTTCATACAAGATGGACCGCAGTTTTTACCTCTCTTGGGTTTTATTTACTCCAATAACGGGAATCTAATCCGGATAGTGTAGACTTTGTTTTTGACATGTCACTGTTAGTGAAATTCCTTGTCATCGCGAAGCATACTTTTATCATTGTAGGAAAATTCACCTAAAGTCCTTCATCGCCTTAAGCGAAATTGGTTGAATACTGATGGTATCAAAAATTTACTCTGTATGGATGTGGTTGATTGCTTGAACTTTGTTTATCCCAATACTGCTTCATATTTTGAGGTAAATCTGATTTTGCTATAACACAGATGCTCTATATGTAGTTGCTGTGCTATGATGTTTCATGATCTTTAGTGGCGAACTTGGTTCGACCCAGGTGCAGTCAAGGGTTAAGTTACCCTTTATTATAAAAGAAGCAGTATATTCAATATTAAATTTAAGTCAAGTGTGTATAACCAAATACATTCAGAGAACTATAGGAAATATTGATATACTAGACAAAATATGAGCCGTTTTGCTGTTGCTAGTACTCTTGTTTTCAAATATATCTTTAATTTTATAAGCTTTATTTTATCAGTGCTTGTTGATTTATCCATGCGTTTTTAAAGAGCTTTGGCAGATTTTTATTAAGTTTGTCAAAAACTAATTAGTTCCTCTTATTATTTTATTGTATAGTCATTTTAATTTTATTTATATTTGCCCTTCCTCTCCATTATTTTTAACGTTATTGTTGGGCTCATATAGTCTTCAGGTAAGTTTGTTGCTTGTGTCTGATTCAATCAACGATAAACAAGGTATGAAGAGCAAGATGGTGTGGACTTTTGTATCGTCGCAGTTTCCTTTCGTTTTATAGCAGTAGCTTGACCTTATTTCGCAGCTTGGTCATATTTGCAGGAAGACCTAGAGGAACTGTCCGGAATTCATGGTATACATGATACTTTCCAGAGTCACACCTTGACTTGACACCTTTCCAGACGTTTCGTCTGTATCGTAATCGGCATCGTCAGCAAGCCTTGTCATTCTTACTACGGCCCTGACTGCCAGGCCCCCCCACTTCTATAAATCCAGTGCAGACTGCAGCCATACCGGGGACTACCCCATCTTTGTCTTCATATCATCTATGCATTGCTTATTTTTATTTTATGCCCTGAAATGTTTAATTTAATTCAATACTCTCATTACTGCTAGTTGTATACGGAATAAACCAATTTAAGTTATTACATTCTTTGTGCACTACAACTTTTCTTCCTGGGAATGAACGGCAGGTAGCATTCGCTAGATCTTTAGGTATCTCCTGTACTGAATTAATTCGAGTTACGTGAAATTTTTATTCAATCATATAGATACTTTTTCCAAGCTAAAAGTAGTAGCTTCATCATTATTTGATAAATGTTATTTTGCGATGCGTTTCACGTTGTAGACTCAATGTACCCTGCATAATCCCCACAAATTTTTTCGACCACAAGTCTGACATGGACTCTTTTTTATTTAAATCTTTTTACTCTCCATATAGCTATCTCATATACCGACTGTCACTAACTCGTGTCATTTGAGCCTACAAGCCAACCTGATACCCAGACGAATCTCTCCTGCGCTGAACCCCATGCAGACGGCTTGTACAAGTCTGGCTTCTTTAGGTCTAGGGACATGCGTTCTTGCCTCTGGTGGCAGTATGCCTACACTTTACCTACCCTCAGCTGGCTACACTAGGACGTGCGCTTCTGAAATGCTATCTAGCGCTGCAGGAACTGGTGCTGGTGTTGGAAGTAGCTGCGGCAATGTTCTTGAAGCAACTCAACTATCCAACCG